ACACTTTTTATGGGTTTTTGTCATGTCGAACATTCTGTATAAATAACCAGTTCAAGGCAAACTTCTTACTACAAATAACGCGAAGGAAACATTTTACGAGTATGGCATAATTTGCGTTTTCGCGTGTAGCTCGCAGCATTATCGCTCTTTTCACAAAATCAAAATGCTTCCGAGGTGCTAAAGAAATAATTCATTCGATATGTATGCAGTATAAGATGATCCATTATTGATGTGCAGTAAAAGACCTCTAACATTCACTATTGTATATGTTACAATACCCCTTGCTCATATAACGATATAGTAATCTCATGTCCCTTTGTTGTGGATCTCAATGACCCCTCCTCCTTTTTTATGGATCCTATCCTTCAAAACAAAAATACTCGTTACTTGACCCACTTTTTCCAACCCCTTCGTTCCTCTCCCGCTATAATCGGAATCATGCTGAACTGTTACATACATTGGACTAATGTGAAACATTCTCTAGCGCTGAGCTTTGAATTTTCACTCTTCGACATGCTCTTCACTACCGCAAGCGTCATGCTCAAATATCGAAAATCTGCGTTGAAAGTATTGTGATATATAAAACACAGTGGGTTATGGTAAAGTTTTTCTCCGTTGTGTGCACTTGTTTTTCGGGTGCTACGCGCTAGCTTAGGAAAATCATGATACGTGCCAACCCATCTGTAGAAGCATTCGACAAAGTTTCAGGTGTAAGATCCAAATCAGGTTCTTCCAGAGCTCTTCCTCGTACAGTAAATTTCCTTACCAATGCAATGGAAGCAGTGCAACTGCGGAAGTTTAACAAAGTTGGAGCAAACAGTCGTCCTAATGGCTTTGTGATGTTGTTTGGTGAGACTTTGTTTCTGAAAATTTATTCTCAAAGCTTCCTTTTTTTTACAGGAAAGACCACTGAGCCAGTTATGAGAGAGATGGTCGACCAGGAGCCAATTCCAGCCGACTGGACATATTCCACTTATTGTCGAAAGTATCTGGATGAGTCGCTTTACATACCGGTGCAGTATAGGAACGCAGGTTATAAGGCGAGTAGCTTGTCGTTAGTTTGTTTGAGCAGAGCCTCAATATATGTAAAACAGAATACAAATTGAAAGCGTTTGTAATTTCCTCCAGGCGACAGTTTTGTTCCAGTATCGTTCACTCTACACAGGCTCCGTGACGGCTTGAAGAAATGGGGGTGGGGAGTAGGATGGGCGGGGAGGGGCGAAAGAAGTGTTTCTCAACGAATACTTGAATCAGCCATGCCTTCAAGATTATTAGACCGGTCTCAAATAAAGCCGAAAAAGGTTGTGCACAAAATTCAGTTTTCGCCACATCCAATGAAACTATTCAGCAATCCATAAAATTCAAGCTACCAGCTAAATCATAGCATAGCTTCTCAGAACGTGTTACGC